GAAATGGAATTGAAGAGAATTGTGTTGTGCTGTGTGTGTGTGTGTGTGTGTTGGAGGAGAGAGAGAGGAAAATGGAAGAGATATATAGAGGAGTGGAGGTGGGAATTTGGATGACACGTAGACAAGTGATGTGGTCAGATGAGGGTTTGCATGACCAACAAGTTTCAAACCAAGAGGTGTGTTTGGATACTGAGACACACGCACAGGAAAATAATGAAAAATCATAAATCGCCAACAAAATTTTGGATTTCCCTCTCTTCTGCCTTTGGTTTTATATTTCATTTCAGCCTAACTTATGTGTAACTTCAATTATGAATTAAAGTTTGAGAATGCATCTTGAGTTTGGAAGGTGTAGCTCAAACTTTAATAAGTATTGTAACGTCTACATTTTTTCTTAATACAAAATGGAGGGGAGGGATCAAACTCATAACCTTTTTATTGGAGATATATGTCAATTATCATTGAACTATGCTCACTTTTATTTCCTTAAATTTTTGGAGTGTTGCAATTTTGATCTTTTAGTTATAGTTTTTGTTTGTAGATGAGTAAAAAAATCTTCTCATGTGTGTCTAATAAATTATTAATATAAAATATGTTTTTGTCTGGAATCAAAAGGATTTAGACAAAAATGACAATACAGCTTATTTTTTATTTTTTGGTTGAAATTTGTAAGTTTTGATGGAGCTGTAATTTTCAGGGTATTTTTTTTGCACTAATCAAAACTTAATATTATGTAAAGCTTAATTTACAAAAAATAATAACAATAATAATAAAAAAAAAGGGATGAAATAACAAAATTTAATATAAGAATAAAAATTACAACATTGGTCAAATCACAGTATAGTGTGGAAATTAATATATCTTACTAAATTCATGGGTAAAAAATAAAAATTTGTTTTTATTATTGTTGCTTATTTAAAATTTGTGTTAAAGTCGAGTATTTTTTCTTTATTCAATTTTGGTTTTTTTTTGTTTGATTTTATATATCTTATTGACTGAATTTTGTGTTATTTATGGACTAATACTGTTTAGGGATTTGAATATCTGACTTTGTAAAAATAGATGTTTACAGCAAGTTCAAATTGATGTATATTGCTAAAAGAATTAGGCATATTATTTAAAAGATATATATTTGAATTTGGTGACGGTAAATTTTGGAGAGGTCCAAGTGGTCACTCTAAGGATTAAATGAACCTGTAACCAGAAAACTCGACACTGATGTGATGTCCCGTCTAATGTACTCCAACGCTTAAGTTAGTAATCAGAGTAAAATAATAGGATAGATACCTTAGGGGTTCAGTGACAAATTTTTCACTTACTTTGTAAAGGTGAAAGTCTTTCCCTTTTATAGACGCAGATGACAGCAAAGACAACAGTTGAAGTRGCAGGAGTGCGCCGAGTTGTACGAGATCCTGACGGTGGAGCGTACGTTCGCGACAATCAATGGGTGGCGCCTCCATTTGAAGATCTGCAACCAGCGGTACGGTTACCAGGTTGCAGTCCTCGGCGTCCCTTCACACACAAGTGGTAGTGATGCCATATACCAACGTAGAGTATGATGGTAATCGTTTGTGATCTCGTGCCTTGCTGTCATTCTTGAAATCAGATGCGTTYCTTGTTTGGACTTCCCAAAAAAATTGAATTGATTTTAGTTAGAAATTAGATTATTAATTTTATTTTTAAAATATAACGAAAATATCAATAACTTTTAAATATGTAATTATGTATATTCAAATATAGAATTAGTTTAATAGCTATTCATATTATATTTTATAAAAGATAATTAATAATATTATATATATCTGAGTAATTATTTTTATAAAATCGTTAAAGAGTAAAAATTGAAAAAAAAGTTACGAAGTGAAATTAAAATAGATATCCAAATGCAAATCCTATTTTGGCCTCAAAGAAAGTGTAAGAAATTATTTTAAATCATGTGTTTTGTAATTCGAAAAATGATTTACTTGAAATGAAAATTATTTGAAATAAATATAATTATATATGTTTTTTTTTTGTTTGACTGTTTGTTGATGTTGAAAATTAAAAGATAATAAACAGACCATTTAAAAACGAAAAAGAAAAAGAAAAAGAAAAGAAAGCCCTGGTGAGTGGTCTCTGAAAGAAACTAGAAAAGTTACAAGACTGGGCCATTCTCTACGCTGGGCCCAAAGAGATTTGAATGGGCCAAACAATGCTATCTATTTTGAAAAGATTCCCAAAAAGACACATATATCCCTATCTGTGGAGTTCCAACGAGAACATTGTTTGATTCTTGCCTAATGTGGCATTCCCAAACTTGGATGATTTTCTCCCAAATTCGTTGTCCTTAGAAAAACAATTAAGTAATCGATTACTTAGAGATGGAAAGTGAGGTACGTCGGTGGGTGTTTTTGAAATCCATTGCACCATGTTAAAATGTTGATAAATGATTAAATTTGTCGTAACTCATTTGCTTGAACTTTGAAGTCAAGTAATAATTTAATATGTATAATGCATTAGAGTAGAAGGTCTTGTAATGTTATTTCCTATCCAATTAATATTGATAACCACTTGTTGAGTCTCGTGTAAATTTAATTTCAAGCTCACAAATAAGAGTATTTAAATTTCGACGAAATGATTAAATGCTTTTCACACGGTGGGTAGTGGGTGAAGAGAGAACTTTTTGGACGGTGGTGGAAGCCCCACACACCCCTACTTTGTACAACCTTATGAACCCTTATATGAATATAATTAGGGTTTAGATTAGGCCCTCACCTTTACGTCATTCCCGAAAAGAAACACACATCTTCTCCCTTTTTCCTTTCTAATATTCTCTTTTTAACCCTGGATCTTAAGTTCCTTTCTAATAAGTCAAGTAATACATACATTTAACACAGTTCGAGTCAATGGTCACGGGTTCAATTCATAAGTAACGTCATTTTTCTCTTTTTGGAAAGTTAAATTAAAATTAGTCTAAAGTTGAATTCATTTTATGATATTTAAAAGTAAGTATATTTTAACCTACATGGTTAAGTTTTTGAGTTTCATAATCTAGAATCATAAGAAACTAAATTGGATTATTTCTCGAGCTTCGAATAACTGTAGCCATTAACATGAATTATTTTTTCAAATTTTAGACTATTAAACTGTATTTTTTCTTATTATTAGACCATATAAAATATGAGTAGTAGTCTCTAAAGGTTAGCAAATTTTTTAAGCTTACTTTATATATTCATTTATGTTTTTTACTCCTTTTACTTTTCAATTTTGAATTTATATTTCAACTTATTGAATGTTCTTTTCATAACTTACTTTTAGTACACATAGTTTGTTTATGCACGCCATGAAAAAACTATATATGTGTACTAAAAGAGAGATGATGTTTGAAAATGAAACAAAGTCATGGATAGAAAGAGACACACCGAAAGCAGTGGCTAAAAAGCTAAGGCATGACAATTTGATAATAATACAACCAAACATTAGCCATCAAAGCTTTTGAAAATTTGAGTGAGACTACATGTTCTTTGCCTACGCACTACCCAATCCATATAAATATATAATAAATTAGGCAAAGTTTTTGGTGTCACAGGTTCAATGTTGGGTTCAAAATTTAAATCACACTGAACTAACGTTCATTTCCTCCATATTTAATACTAACTATCATTTATCGGGTCTTGTGCCAATTTCAAAATTCTGAAAGGTGAGGGAAGTGTACGTGTTAAGGAATCTACAATCAATAAAATTTATGAATCATTAACCCACTAACTTAAGTTAAATCATGGCCATCCAAATAACAAAAGTGATAGACTAACACAGAGAAGAATATCTTAGAAGAAAGTACATGTTATGGACAAAGAAAAGGGTGTCTATCTCTCACTTACAAATCACAATATGGCACTAAAAGATATCAACTACTCCCTTTCCTGATCTTTATAAGGATGATCATGATCATTTGAAGTAAAATACACACCAGAATGATGGCGAGGCGGCCTTCTTGCGGGGCGGGCGGTGGCGGTGGCGGTGGCGGTGGAGTATCGAACCAAATCAGTATTGGTGGCGTCGAGTTCCTTCTGAAGACGAAGGACGTGACGCTGGAGGACGGAGATGGCACCGACGCAGCCGTAGACGGGGTCTTTCATGCGGGCCTCAGCCTCGTAGGCAAGAGAGTTTACAGCGTCCTCCCGCTGGTGGGGCTGGACCTCGTTGAGGATCTTGCTCACATTGCTCGCTCCGAATATCTTGTGGACGTTGGTGAATTTGGTCGGCTCCTCGGGTGGGAAGTAGGGCGCGAATATGCATTCTGCTAAACATTTTCTTCTCAAGAACTTGCATGCCGCACATGGCGAGTTCGAGTAGCTTGAACTTGAACAAGCCATTTCCCTGATCTATCAACCCAAACCCAAAATAAAAAATACAACAATGAAAAATCTATTATATACATTAGATTTTCCAAATTCAGTTATTCTATGTTAGAAAACGATCTGTAAGAATATTTGGAAAACTTTATCAAATGAGTTCTTAAATATTTGAGTTTAGTATGAATTATAATAATAAGATGTTTATCTCTCTTTATTTCTCTCCTAATTGTTAACAAAATCTATCAACTGAAGATTGGGTGCGCCTGACCAGTAATAACTCAGCACTCAGTATATTCTCATAATAATGTCTTTTTTTATAATATTTTTGGGAATAATTTTGCTAGCTAGATGCTGCATGTGGCTGGGGGAAGTTTTTGTAAAAATTAAATTAGGTTTTTATTGAAATTTGAGTCGGCTTAGTTACATATCCACAACTAAATTTTTTTGTAATTTAGAAAAAAAAAGGAAGGAGAAAAAAGATAATAAAAATAAAAATAAAAATAAAATAAGTTTTGTAATTTCACAAGTTTTTCTAACTTGTGTCTGGGTGGAATGAGTGCATTTTTTCTTTTTTTTTTCTTTTTTTGCCTTATTTTAGTTTTATTATGTTATATAGTCTATTTCAATTATATAATCTTTTTTAGGATTCTCATGACCCATCATAAAAGGGTAGTTTGGTTAATTAATTACAATCCCACTCTCTTCATTTGAAATTAATATCAACCTTTTCATATAGAAAAATTATTCAATATGGCCACTACAGTAATATTGACCACCACTCTCATATGTTCATAACTATTAGTTAAAAAATATTTCTTAATTTCTCTCAGGTAACAGTCATATTAAACAAAGTTCTTATACAAATGAACTACTTCCCCTCCTTAAACTCATAATAAAATTATTACTTCTAATAATAATAATAATAATAATAATAATAATAATAAACTCATTAAATTATTACTCTCACTTAAAAATTTAAACTATTAACTTGAATCATGTGATACAATTGCAAAAAAACATAGAGACACATTTAATTATGTGTGAATTTGCATTTCTCTTGCACAAAGCGCGCACACAATTAATATTTCTGCATGAGAAACATAAAAATTTCACCTTCCTTTGTACTAAAACATGCACATCTAAGTAAACAAATTGATCATAGACAGCCCAATTGATGATCACCAGCTAATTAATTATATAGGTAAACAAATTCATTCAAATTTTATAACAAGAAGTCAATTCTCACATATTTGTGGGGAAATAAACATGTATGGGTACCAAGTTTGAAATTTTATAAAAATAGCGTAATTCAAAGTTAACATGGTACTAATTGTGACATTTTTTAAACTATAGGGTGTAATTTTCCAAAACGACAACCATCAATGAAGATTAAAGACCTTATTCCTCATCGAACATTCGGAAGGGAAAAATTAACGAAAATTTAAGAGGTAACATATCATGAAACAAGCATAAAAATCAAAATTAGGGTTACCTTTTGAGATCTTTAATTACTTCTTCAAGGAGGCTCCAAAAGGGAAAAGGGAAGAAGAAGCATATATATATAAAAAAAAGAATTAGAGGAGAGGAGAGGATGGAAGAATTAATTAATTATTAAATTTGAAAAGGAAGAAACCCTAAGCAGAGAAATTAAAGAAGAGAGGATGGGAGAAGGGAATTAGGGGGGCCTGCAAAAACCTAAGGCAAAAGGTATGGAAGATGAGAGAAAAAAGAGAGGCAAACAGAATTTTTAATATTGCAAAGCCTAACAGACAACCAAAAGGTGACAATGACACTGTCGTTTGAAATTATGTCCAAACACTGTTCTAAGAACTCCGCATTAATTATTTATTCTCACTACCAACACATTCCATGGATGTGTGTGTCTATATATATACTTCTTTTAATTATACAATATATTCACAGTCGAGCTTTGTTCTCTTATACAATATATTCATGAGTACCTGTATCTGCCTCAAGATTCGGACTTTAGAGACATCAATGACTTTTTGGTATTAAGTTCATTGGGAAATTCGAATTTGAATTCTCTGAGAGTCAGTATGTCAAAAAAATCTCAAATTCTTACCAACCATGCTACCCCTGGAGTTATATTATATTTTTAGGGACAGTTACAGTAAAATTGGAAAAACAGCAACTATATTTAGTTTTTTCAAACATAACACTTTTTTTTTAAATAGACGTCCAATTTTAAAATGACAATTTTACCCAAATGATATATATCTGTAATATATATGGATGTGATATGCATATGGTATACTACTGATATGTGTGTCTGATATACTTGAAATAGGTATATGATATACACCTGATATATTACTGACATGAATATCTCATATACTACTGATACAAGTATCTAATATATTGTCGCTGATATAAATGAAAATTTGTGCTATTTTTTAAGAAAAATTAAAAACTGGTGACATATATTGAAATAGATAAAAGATCTTTACAACCTAACTGCAATTTCGGTTCCCTTTTTTTTAAGTCTTTTTGTTTTATGAATATATATGGCTATCAAATCTCCCCAAAGATGTCATTTGGAAAAACTATATTTTGCTTTTGTTTTTATCTTCACTGTTGATTAACAATGATGTCTAGCCTAGCTAGTAGGTTTTTTTTTCCACCTCTCCCTCTTTTGGATGATGTGGGTATCCCATAATTTAACCATAAGATTTTGTTTTCATTTAATGTTTTCTTAAATGATTTTCTTTGTGTAATTTTGGTGGGTTTATCAATAAAATAATTGTTTCAATTTTAGAGAACTAAAAAAATATAACTTATATATTTAGCTTATACTTTTAGGATTTAGGATTTTAATTACTTGAAAGTAGTTTTCAAAGGATCGTCAAAACTACGTCTTGGGTTTAGAAAAAGCTTTTGAACATATAATTACCTAAGTTAAACTAACTAATATAATGTACAATTAACTCTAGTAAACCATAGTTTAATTACAAACTAGTCTCAATTAATATCGGTAATAATACCTTCTAAGATTATTAAAAGAAAAAAAAGTACCTTCTAAGTCCTATCCTATGTGTATATAACATATTATTTCAATCACTTATAATTAACCCTCTTCGTTCTTTCTCAACACAAAATATTTTCTTTTTACCAACTTCTTTCTTTGAATGTTTATAAACAGCGATGGGTTTTGTTCGGATGAGGTAAAAACATGGAAATATGCATAAATTTTACTATTTAATCATTAATATATTTTCTTAAGATTTGTGTAATAATTCATTTTAAAATGCATATTTAAATTATCCGTCTAGCTCAGTTGGTAGAGCGCAAGGCTCTTAACTTTGTGGTCGTGGGTTCAAATCCCACGGTGGGCGTAATTCTTTTGTTAGTTCGTTAGTTCATTAATAGTAGAAAAAAAAAAATCAGAGACTATTTCTCATACTATCTTTATTTCATGCATGTGATACATACTTGCCTTGTACTTCTCTATCTCATCCATCAACATTTTTTCCCTTTTTCTAATTGATTATATATTTAAATAACAAGTTTATTATGAACATGTCTTCCTATATCAAACCCACCTTTAATTTGATAAAAGACATCGGAGAGCCTAAATCTTAGTCGGCCCGGCCCATACCTTTTCCATTATTAGGCCATTTGTAAATTATAACCCATATTTGTCCATCCCCGTACTCTTTACCTGCCAAAATAGTATACTATATATATTAGAAATATGGTAAAAAAAATTAATAGTTAAATTTCAAATTAAACTCGAATGTAATGTAAAAAAAAATAAAACCTCTGGTATGTTTGAAAGAAAATAATATTTGCAACATGTTAATAATATATTATTAATTTTATGCAGTAAAATAAATTTTAGCAGTTATAAATTTATTTCCTAAATTTTAAGTATCGCATCTATTTGTTTTTTAGAATTTAGTTTCCAATTGCCAAGGTAGGATTGATAGGTATTATTATTATTATTTTCGAGTAAAGACATGATTGATTACTACACAAACTAATAATATGTGGTAAGTCTAAAATTTAATAACATAATTCGAAAAGAAAAAATCCACGTAACAAAGCAAATAATAATTACCCATTGCCGTACATACAATGTATAAATCAAAGTTTGCGATTTGATTTTGAACGTAAACAGAACCCAATCAAATCAATCACGTCAACAGACGATCGGTGTCTCTGTACTGTTCCCGCGCAGCATCAGCGATGGGGCCCTCCCCACCGACCAAAATTTATTTATAAATTGGAATAATTGTTTCCCCAAGTTTTTTAATTTGAAAAAAAAAATTCAATAAATGTTCGCCCAAACTTCCCAATCTCTCTCTCTTCTATTATTTGAAGCCGTTAATTTTACCAAAAGTAATACACTGTAGCCCAAATAGTTAAAGTTCATCAGAATAGTATAGCTGCCAGATTTCATCAACTACAAAATTCTTCAAAATTTCGCTAAATAAAGCGCAACATTTAAAATTTTATAAACTAATTAAATGTACCAACAAAAAATAGAATTTGAATCCAAAACAGATCATGTGGACAAATGGGTGAACATAAACGACAATTTAGATGGTACAATGGCAATTTGCAATGCCAAAATTTTTCTGCGAGGTCCTCCCCTATTCTACAGTAGGCGTGAGTTTTGGTGGGCCCTCGTGAAACAACAGCCGTTGGATTTTAGATATTTACTTTGATCGAGTGATCAGGTGGAGGAGATGGGATTACAGTATCATTGGCCCACGTGGCATGCTGTTGATGCTGATGTCTGATGACGTCGGATTTATGGGGGGCGGCTTTCACATGGTCCCTCTCCTGTCCTCGCGTACTCGGCCCAGCCGCCCATGTGGACCCCACACCTTTTTCTTTTCTCAAAATTTTTTTCTATTATTTCTATTTCAATTTTTGAATGTTGTATTTATTTTATTTTGGTCATTAAATTTATGTTTAAAAAATTCGTCATCAATAGCTAACTTTTTCAAAGCTCGTTGTTTAACAACAAATCTTAACACATGGTAGGTGTGTATTGAAATTTTCACTAAAATTTTGATAGGCGTTTTTCTTTTTTAAAATATAAATTTTTTTTTTCTCTGTCAAAATTTTGTCCTTCCCAAAATAATGTTCTCGAGGAATTATGAGCCACAGATATTTCAAGCCCATTAGAAATGAAGTAGGCCCAGGCCCATTTTTGCGTCGGGCTGCAACTGAAAGCTGCGGTTTTCTATCCACTGGTAAAAAGCCCTGACAGGCAGAGAGCTCCCACTCCTCTATCCCAGAAAAATGATAAGGGGCAAAACGGTAAATACGACAACGAAATAATTTAGGCGGGAAAAAGAGCCGTTGGTGGACAAAACTCCCAATTTTTGGCGCCAAAAGCCAGCCTCCCTCGGCTACGCCTGCCCGTAAAAAACCGGGCAGCCTCCTTTCCGAAAAATCTTTGACAAATTTTTAATTTCTTGGACCGTCTTTTGGCTGGAGCTTACGCTACCCGAAAATAAACAATTAATTTGTCATAATAATAAATAATTAAAAATCCCGCTTTGTCTTCGCCTTCACTTTCTTATTTATTTTTCCACAAAATCCTCTTTTCTTCTTCAATTTTATTTCAAAGTCTCCTTTTGAGTTTCTTTCTCCTTCCCTCCTCTTTCTCTCTCTGTTTCTTT